CGAAACAAATGAATTTATTACTAATATAATTAATTAATATCTCATTATAAAATTAATTAAAAAATTTAATAAATAATATAACCTTAGATGCATATCGTCTGGTAACATTATCATCCATAAGTGCTAATGAACGAAATAATGAGAAGCATCCAGGTGAGCAAAGAACACAACCAATCATATGTTCAGTTGCTTTCTGTAGCCAATGACCAATTGCATATTCAAATTTTTGATACCATATCATTAAACCTAAAATAAATTATTTTATTTAAAATTTTTTTATAATTCTAAAAAAAAAAAATTTAAAATAAAAAAATTTGGTAAAAAAAAATTTCGTTTTTTTTTTTCTTTTTCCCTTAAATCTCATTCATTTGTAATTTTATTTCTATCATTTGAAAAAAAAAAAAAGTAGTGAAATTTTTGAATTACTTGAAATTATCAAGAATTCTCATCTGCAACCATTACCAGTTCCACGTGGATGTATTCGACCACATGCTGCACCAAGACGTCGATCTTTCTTCATTAAATCAACAAGTAAATGTACACATTGTGGTGAAAAATCAACATCACCATCTAATGTTAGAATAAATGTATTCTCCGAAATTATCACCTTCCTCATTTCATCATCAACTTTCATCATTAATTGATAACCCAATAAATAATACAGGTACATTACCTGAAATGATTTAATTAAATGATATAATTAATGATGAAATTAATATTAGCTACGAAAAAAAAAACAATATGATGAAAATATATTTTTATCAAAAAGATAATGGAGTTAAAATATTGTAAAATTGGTTTTAAACTGGTTTCCAATTAGCATTGTAAACCGATTCTTGAAAATATTTAGCGTGTAAATTTGATGAAGAATTTGAATTTTAAGCTTATACAAGAAATGAATTTGAATATGTGTTACTTAAATACAGGAATTATAAAGAAAAAAAACAGTGAAAAAATTGATAAAAATAAAATTGCATACCTGACTCCAACGTTTCCGAATGCGAATTTTTTGTTTATCTTTCAAATGAATCATTAGCCTATTTTTGCCAGGCATAATAAAACTTAATCGTCCACCATATGGAGTTGAAATTTTTTTTGGTGACCTTAGTCTCATTTGAGTTTGATGTAAAGCACTAAAATTTATCTTATCAAAGAGTTTTAGCTTTTCTATCTTCAACTTTCAAACAATTTTATTCAATTTTCATTAAAAAAAAAAAACAATCTGCATTTTAAATTCAACCGATAATAAAAAAAGAAAAAAAGAAAACCTGGCTGCTTCGTCAACTTTGTCAACCAATTGTTGAACAAATTTATTAATTACAGGTTCACCATATTCATTAATATCAAAAGCATCATCAAAAAATATATGCGCTTCGAATTCATAATAATCTGGGTCGATAATCTTTGAAAAAATTATTTACTTTTTCCTTTTTTTTGTTTTTTGTTTGAAATAGAAATTAAAATTTTGAAATGAAATTAAATAATATTAAATTAAAAAAGAAATGGAAATTTTGATTTGAAATATTCAAATGTAAATTGATTACTTTAAGATATTTTTGAGCATTTCTTCTAGCACATTGATCCTCATCAAGACGAAAGATACTTTTCAACATACAGGTCATCTCGATCGCTGTTTCATGCCACATTGTCGCACAAACGTAAATTTTTGTTACTGCATCTGCGGATGATGCCATTTCTCTTAAGAAAGTAAATGTATAAATTAGGAACAATCATTAATTAACGTAGAAATCAAATAGCAGTAAATGAGACAGAGACAGTGATAATCAATTAGTAGTGAAGTAGCAGTGATAATAATGTCAAAAAAGACAGTGATAACCAGATGATAACCAATTAACGATGAAGTAACAATAATGATAATGATAAAAAGATAGTGATAATCAAATGAGAAACAATTGTTAGTGAAATAACAGTGATAACAATGATTAAAAAAGACAGT